GTAGGCAGACTTAGCAATTTACGACTAAGCTCAGTCGTCAGAGTCTTATACGCTCCGAAATTATTCTTTATTTCGTCTGTCAATCTGGCGCATGCTGCATAGTACCCTTGGTCGCTGGACCCGCTTTCTGTCTGTCCCACTAATGTTGCTGATCTGATCTCTCCATCGATCTGCGCTCGCTTCTACTTACGCGCCTTTTGTGGTGCGGAAGCCGATGCTGCTTTTTCTAGGCCCCCAATCCGAATGGGGCAATACCTTGCATCACATTCGAGAACATCCCGTAAACACGCTGCATATTCTTTCTCTCTGCTTCTTCTCAGAACGAGTGTAGCGTGGAAGCCTTCATATATAATTTCTACGGTTGTTGTTGTGGAGGACTTGAATGTAAAAGTGGGCAGACCAAGCGCTGCCGCGAGTCATTCGGGTGAGTCCAGGACCGGAGCAGAAATTCACGAACAACGGCGAATGCCAATGATACTAACGTGTTGAAGACGGGCGGGAGTTACTTCCGTAACGACCGAAGCTACTTCGCCATATGGTGCTCCTTTACTCAAACCAACCTGCAACCTCGACAGATCACATCGATGTTAGCTATATTTGGCGTTGCTCATTATGATGCACCTTTGTAAACCTATGTCAAACGCTTGTTTGTTACTGATTTTTGTTTCATCATTGCTGGAATTGGATGATGAGCACATTTCTGCTGGTGATTGAGAAGCCTTCGGAAACTGGGGTCAAATAAGCCCACTAGAACCGGTATTGACGTCCCTCCCGTAGACGGGGTCTTCCGAGGTTAACTTTTACTCCAAGATGCTCGGGCACTACGCTTGTGGAATGGTACATTGAAACTGATGATAATATTGAATCAAGGGCAGTATGCTAAAGTTCTTGGAAGCTTGGATAAGTTTTCCTGCTTGTAGAGAGTACAATATTACTCAACAAACTGTTAGACTTCTAGCAAAAGCTGAGCGCCTGCACGAATTGAGAATCTTTGTGGGCTGAAGGGGTAGGTAAAGCAAAAACTCTAGGTTTGTGCTTTCCTTATGCCAGTTGATAACCGGCCCAAATGGACCTCCCATGAACCAAGAAATCACTTGTTTACATGACTAAACATTAGATTAAACCTTTTCAACAATTATTCGATTGAATAATTGCAGTTGATTCGATGACGCCCTAAGTGATTGTATCTGTCACCGATGAGTTGGCTTGACTTCCATTGTGACAAGAATAGTTTATCTGCCTACTTTATGTTGTGTGACGAAGTAATTTGATAACATGGCCAGGAAGAATGATTCCAATTTTCCAGGGTTTGCTTGGACCGCACCTCAACGTTCCTCAAGTGTCAGACCGGTGACATGCGTACACACTGAATTTTCTTAATGGATACAGACACATTTGAATATGTGTAATCGTTTTGCCTGCTATTCACATATAACCCCATGCAAATAAGGCACGAGCGGAGGAGTGAATTTTATCGACGTTTTGTTCCATATTTTTAAATGAAACACTAATTTAAGATACTGGGGAGTCTAGAAGATTTCCTCTGATATGCTAAAGCTACAAAGCAAGGTTTTTGATGGATTAGGTGTCATGGAATTTCTAGAATTTACTTATTTTATGCAAGAACCTACCTTCTACTCGTAGACAACTATTTCAACTAACATAACGCCACGTAAATTACTTATGGATGACGATGTTTGTCTCCGACTAAGGTGGCTCACGGTGTGCACCTCAGTATCCTGTGAGTTTAATGGGTCCGGAGAATCGACCTAACACAAACCGAAATACGGTAGCATAACAGGGAAACACTGTCGAAAATGAACACCAGTCACTAACTTTGTGGCTATTAGTTGGCATCTATCCACCAACTTTTGCAATGGGATGTTATAGCAATGGAGAACATTACGGAGGCAATTGTTTGGTGTGACAATAATGCAAATATCCACTGAGAAGTCCCTTCTGTGTGGTTTTAGAACGTTTTGAGCATCAAACAAATGAATTACCAATAAAAAACTATCTGATGTCGATAATTTCCCTAGGTGCTGGAACCACTAACAAGGACAACTCAGCTTTTGGTGCCTTGTTAAATATCGATGACAAATTGCGGACCCCTGCGGCTTCCAAACCATGCAACTTGGTCGATGCAGAACAAGATCGCTATAAGAATCGAACAAAGACGCATCATGTCTAGACGTGCTCGAATCTTCATCTGTATGGAATTTTTTACTGTGCACCTCAGAGTTGCGCGTAGCAAGATTTCCTTTCATCCTATTTCAATCATAAAGCGATGACAAAACCTTAAAAGCCATACGAGCCATAATTTTTAAGAATACTTTATTAGTAGTTCTCATTTGTTGAAAATACACTTCATAATTCGCAAGGCTCACCTATGTATGAAATCTTTGGTTTGTGGGCGTCCGGAAATGACTTGAATCCATTTGTTTTGATTTTCGTGACTTGGTATAAAGCGTGTATTCGTCAACTTGCCCAGCGGTATTTACTTGAGTTCACCCGTTCAATCTTTACTTGAAGAGGATTTACTGAAATTTAAGGTGATAAAATAGCAGCTTTAATATTGGAAACATAATAATAATACTAATAATAATAATAAGGCAGGCGAATTGTCCGAGAGAAGCACGACTGTTGAGCAGTCGCTTATTTGCCCAAGCCTGGACATGATTAACTGAGTTGGAAATTCTGAATTCGAAAAACGGTCATTAAATTCCAGCCCTAACTACTGAACTATCCTGAGCCCATTAGCTGACTTGAACGTCCGAAAGAAATTGCCTATCTATGAGGTGGAGTTTTACCTTGTTCCGAAGCTTTCGCATACTGAGTGAAATATTTCCAAGAGTCCAAAAACACACTGATTATTATTATTTTTGAGACTTTCATTGTGTGGAACGGCATCGCGTGGGTTTTTGTTTTCGCCTAGAGCTCATATCCACTAGGCCTGTATATGATCTAAAAGTTAAGTAGTATTAGACATTCACCGAACGCACAATCACTATTCAAATTTGACATAGCGCGCTCAACACAAAGCAACCAAAGATGTTTCCTCATCGTGGCATTTCAATATCGTCATCACCATCATCGTCATCGTCATCATCATCAACATCGTCTTCATCACCATCCGCAACAGCATGATATGAGCGTAAAACACTAATGCTTCGCTGCGGAAAAACCGCCATTTATTTGAAAGACTTATTGGGAACCAAAGAATAAAGGTGAATATTGAATATATTTGGTGCTAGCCCACTACAATCAATCTCAGGTGATTACATCGCCAAGCATTCATTCAGGTAAATTGGAGAAATACTGAAAACAAGAAAATAAATGAGTTTCAAACAACTTATTGCGTTTGAGAAGGTGAACAGGGGTTTAATCCGAATATGTAGTCTTGAACTTCCCCTAGTTCAGTCCGCAAAACATTCGGATCTGAATCACTGAATGCAACGATATAAGTTGTCATAATGCCGCTGATGTACTAAATGTCTTCATGTGAATTTGGTCAAGTATCGTAACGTGTGCTGGAGTTTTGATCTGCCAAATTCTGCCCGGTTTAGCCACTTGATAAACAAGATGGAATTCGGTTGTTTCATTCGGGGAGACACTCAAATCCACGCAAAACTTGTAGCCACCGTCGTTTTGTCAAAAAAAAATTTAAGCATGGTTCTGTTTCATGGTATGCAGAGAGTTGTGATTTTCAAGGGCGATATTCGTTCTCTGGGCACCGCTGAAGGTGTGTCCTTGTTATCGCTTTTGGGACAGTTGCTTCTGAAAAACTTGGTGTTGCAACTTGGCAGCCCAGGAAAAACAAGCTTGCATGTGAAATCACACTGTTTGTTCGTACATCAGACTCCAATTAAATTGGCGTGAGCGTTGCACTATTTGACGTCATCCCCTCTCCTGCCCCATACATTATACAGTGCATCAGCAGTGAAACGGTAGGCAAGGTTCATTGACTTGGTAAAATTCGGTGATGAGGTGAATTACGAACATTTGTGACTATGGAAAACGTTTCCGGATAAGAGAGATCTTATAAGATTCCTGAGTGGACTTTAGCCATCTCACAGATGGAAGTTTTCTTCCAAAATCCACAATGACTTTTGGTTTTCACACTTCACTTCTTCCAGGATTATTGGAGACTTTTTATCCATTTGATGCCATATTATTTGTTCGTGGCAACGCGATAACGTGTGATAAGAAAAGATTGGTCAACTACTTGGAACACCTGCGGGAGGTAGACGATACGTTGTGCTGAGGTTAAGCGCTGTCAACGATTAATGGAGGTTGAGCGTTTGTTGAATGTCAAATACGGCCTAATGTTCAGATTAGGTTTTCATTTATACCGGCATTAGAACTGCACATATGAACACAGAACAGTATTTGGAATTTGGAAGGCGTCTTCTATTGTTTTAAGTACATGTAATGTATGACGTAGTCCGATATTCTGATGCAAGAAAGGCGATATATTTATTTAACCTAATCCAGGATGCTGATTATAAGCATTTTAATTTTGATAACAGGAAAATTGTTGCTTAAGGAAGGAGCTCAACGCCTTCGTTCTGTCACTCACTAAACGACGTTTCGAGGTTGGATGAGTGGATCTACTTCAACTCACGACAACTTTACCCTGGAGGCAACAACCCCGCATCTACCAAGGGCACAAGGAGGCTGCTTGTTACGAGATGTCATTTAGTCAGCTCCAAGCGCATCGCATCACGATTAAACCGGCTGGTTCAACGGAATTTAAGTGAGAGTGATGTGATACGAGTGGATTGTCAATCCCTGCTTCACAGAGTAGCTTGTTAGTAGCTTTCCAAGAGAAGAGCGGTGTTNTTGGCCACCTTCCTTAAAGGTGCTCTAATGTTACACAAGAAATCCAACGCAATTTGTGTATACGTTGAATAATCAGTCAATCAAATGAAACAACAACCCTGTTGCCTCAGTATAAACGGATAGTACATAAGGTACCCAGAAAACCCCCTAGTATTTATATCCCAACAACATGTATGTGCTAATTCAGGCATTCAGCGTTATATGCTCATTCGATTCAGTCTCCCTCACGTGGGGTGTCTAAATTTTTCGCACGTTCCAAAACATTACTATGGAAGGATGCAATCTCCAAGTTGTGATGGTAGAAGAAAAATTGCAGGAAGGTTTGGGCGGATTCCTTCTTGGATGTGATGGCGTTTCGGGACCAGAAAGACCGTGAAGTCAATTCATTCTTACTGGGGATCATCAGCGGTGCGTATCTCACTATCTCACGAAAATCCAGGTAACTTCGAACCGAACCGATGAAGGTCCGGCTAGTCGGTTAAGCATTTGACCACTGAATCTCGAGCGGCTGGTGAGATGTGTGATTAGCTCTCACTCAAGTTGGACGTGGTGCCACTCATCCTTCAATAACGGAAAACAACA